CAGCCTTTCCAGTGCTCTGGCCCTAAGGTAACAATAAAAGCAAGCCATTGTGGCAACAAATTGTCTTTTTAAAATTCAATTTCCTTTTACGAGGATGCTTGGAAGATTATTGTTTGCATTGTGTGACTTTTTATGTATTTATTCCCTCAGGCCTCTCTGTGTCTGCCAGGCACCAGGAGGCAGGTCCCTTTTCTTTGAAGAAAGTGAAAAAAAACCTGTAATTTTAGTAATACGATAGACAAATTCAAGTCAACTGTCTTCACTAGATTTCCGAGTTTGAAGTCATCTAAATTCTTACGTTTTAAAGGAAAAACTGTCCTACTTTGAGCCAACTAGATCTTTTGTTGAGATAACTTTTTCCCTTTGTAATGTAACTTCAATCTGAGTTCTTAATACTACAACTTCTCATAAAGTAAGGAATCGGCATAACTTGTTATCAGTATAATGTATCTGTGATATGTGTAAGGGCAGGGGTCGCAACCTTTTGAACCAAACAGCCATTTTGCTCCTTTCCAAAAACTTCTATGTTTGGTCTGAGCCGACAAACTATCCCTTCATAGCTGATAGCTAATAATTGTATTATTGTTTATCAGACAAAGAACTATATTTTTTGCATTTTACATTATATAAAAAACGTTAACCTCTATAAGAACAAAGAACTACTATAAGGAGAATTAAAAATACATCACAGCCTACTTAAAATAAATTAAACCAGCAGCACTTGGGGAGTCCTCTGCACATTGAAGGAAAAAACATTCTTAAAATGGCCCACTTGAAATAAATAAACATATAGCTGCACCCTAAAAAGAGTTAAAGGTAGGTTGGTAAGAATGGAAACCAGCTTGAGTGCGCTAGCATTTGAAATACACGGATGAGGCCGAGATAAGTTTGTCCAGATGAGGGCTGCAGGCAGGTAGGCCATCAGTATTTTAGCCGGCCGGCTCAGATGATGTCGTGCTTTTACAGCGCTACGGCTTCCAGAGATTTACTTTTTGTATGATATTTATTGTCAAAGCCATTTATATCTTCATGCTTATCGGAGTTAAGAGCATTCCAGAAATATACAAAAAGATGTTTCGGTAAATGAGCATACCCATTGAATTAGACTGAGATCGTCAGCTGTCTTCCTCTCCCGTGTTGTCCTCCATACGTAAAGGCTGCAGCACCGTGACACTTCCTCTCATACATATAAACATCCCGGTAAAACCGGGCATCTTGGCGGAAAGCATATACTCTGTCCACACAGAAATTAAATCCTGTTTTCTCCGGTACTTTTCGTTGATTTATCATTGTTCGCTCATCGACCGAGGGTCAGGTTATTCACCCGCAGAAAGCGCTCGCCGGGACCGTAGCAGGATGTGACGCATATTTAGTTGACCTAATTAAACCGTTTTGTTATTCTAATTTATGTGCACAGTATTCCATAAAAATACAGATGCGAACATTTCAACCTGCACCCAATAGAAATATCCTACAAATACTTTTATTTTATTTCTTCTTATTTTTGTCCTAAACTCAAGGGAGCCAGAGCAGAGGGCTCAAAGGCCGCATGTGGCCGTGGGCGCGGTTCCGACCCCTGGTTAGGCATGGGCGTCATGGAAGCATCGCTGAATGTGGGGGACATTTAATGGGGTTCCTGTCTTCTGTGCATTTATAACAGGATGTAGTGGTATTGATACTTTATGTGGCTTAATACTAGCATGAGGAATACTGATGGTTTTGTAATTTCATCCAATAGAAAGAAAGAAACATATTGATTATTAAATTCAGAGCCGTCTTGTGAAATGAATAAAAAGCAAGTTTTAAATGCCCATTTTTTGTACATTTATATACAACAGTATATTGTGAGTGCATTGAGAGATATTGTTGTGGAGAGTTTTACTATATTAAATCCAAATACATTTGTGATCCTTCTGGAGCATGTATTAATATTTGACTGATCGACTCATCTATACAGATGTTAAGTTTACTAGGAATGGTATCATGCTTAAATGTTCAATAAATGTTCTCTCAGTTATATTGTCAGTATGATGCCCCTGACTGAAAATGTTTCCGTTCAATCCCCCACTGACTTCCTCTAAAATTCTGGGATGAGTCCACCATCACAGTTTATCTATAAACTGTCATTCCTTTCACACTCACCTCAGCAAGAACCTCTCCACTGTCCTGTTTCTGCCTCTGACTCACTCCTCAGCGCCTAGATGTCACGGATAGGTCGGTAATGGATAATTATTGATTTAGCAGTATACTCTTTCCATTGGAATCATAACAAGTCATCCTGAATGTAACTTACAACTGACTCTAAAGTAAGTCCCAGTCTGTCATTGGACATTTGAAGAATCCAAGTCCCAAAGCAGTAGGTAGAATATAGCTATCTATGTAATGTGCACAGAAAAATAAATGTAACGAATACTGGATGAAATTCGCGGAGCTGTATTGATTAAATCATTAACATGCTATTGTATTGTATTTGTTCTTGCGGCTGTATAGCCCATCCTTGAATGGAAGCATATGGGCGTGTGGCTGGACCTGTATTTTACAGGAAAGGAGGACAGAAGGGTATAATTGTCGATCTTGTTCTGTGTTCTGTGACATCTGCCTCCCTCTCAGACTTTCGTTGAGCACGCCGCAAAGAGACGCGCTACCATGGAAACCAAACAAGGAGTAGCTGTATAAAGTCTGAGTGGAAACAGTCGTGAGAAAAATCTGATTTGTCAGTAATGGGAGAAATGCGAGAAGAAATATGACCCCGGGAGAGAACCGGGAGAGGGCATGAAATCGGGCATTCTCCGTGATAATTCCGGGAGGCTGGCAAGTATGCCTTACCTCTGCTAACGCGGCATTCGCTTCATACACAGATCTGAGCTGTCCAACTATGCAACACTCTTGAAATGCGCTATGTGATCTGACTTGGTTCAAAAGTACCAGTGAAAACATGGTAAGGGTGTCATTGATTTTGGCATTCTCTCAATAGCAAGTGGAAATGGATTGATAATGAAAGCAACTGACCCACGCGCTTCTACAAAGTGCGGCGGATGATGGACCAAGATTCACGGACTTTCCCACATGGTGAAGTGGGGGGTCTAAACGTAATCATTCAAAAACTGGGGGGGACTTTCCCACTCCTCATTATAAATGGCTGCGATGCCCATGTGTAAGTGATAATTTGCTTAGGTATTTTACCTTTGACACAGTTCATCATTTTCTTCTCTCACTGTCTCCTTTCCCATGGCATGGGTCTACGGCCTTGGGTATTGCTGCTATCTCTCTTAAGGAGGGGCAGCTTGGGCGCATTGTTGTTGCCAGTCTATGACAGAGCACAAGCCGCCATGAGGTAGTTTACTGTTCAGGGACGTAGGTTCCCTGGCG